TATATATATATATATATATATATACGACATTGATTTCTTGAAATTAAGCAGTAGAGTAGAAAAATAAATGAATTCAAATTCAAATATGCGCCAAATACATCTCTCGTAGCATAAAGACTTTGTCTGCCACTCGTACACGCGCTCTGCGCAAATATATGTTGGCATATCAATTAGCTCTCGTCAGCCACATATTTAAGACGCACTCGCAACTCAATTTGAATGCAAACGTATCTATCAGCTTTTGTCAGGCACATTAACATTCCCTGTTAACTGCTGGAAGAAATTCGTTTTCTTTTGAAATTCCGCTATACACGCACATCTGCATCAATAGAACTGCATGCGTATCTACCAGCTTTTGTCTGTGACATGGGCAAAAACGCGTTTTATTTTGAATTTTAAATATTTTTATTTGTTCTTATCTTGGTTTTAATGTGACGTCTTAGTACAACAATTAGCTGCTGCTATTCATATATTAATATATAATATATATATATTACACAATATATATATTTGTATAAACGAATTAAAATTCAAGTTGTTCTTTTCACTTTCATATATATGAACTACGAACGTTACAAGTTTATGACTTTATGTGTGTGTGTGTGTAGTGTAGTTTATCGTATCGTATATGTTTCTCTTTTGTTTTTGTATTTATTTTTTTCATATTTGTTTCTCACTTATCATTTGTATACGTATTGGTATATAGTTACATATATAATTTTTATTTTCTTTTTTTTTTCGTTTTGTATCGGTTTTTATTCAGTGAATACATTCTTTTAAATCGTTTTGTTCCTTTATTTATGCAGTTTATATATATTGCTTATGCAGTTGACTTGTGTATTTGTTGTTGTCTTTATTATGTGTTTTTGTTTCTGTTCATGTTATTGATCATATTTAAAAATCTTTCAAAGGGCAGTTCACGTTCCGCACTCAAACATTTGTCAGCAGTTTGACGGGTTCTTTAACTTTTTTTCAAAATTTTCGTATTAATATTAAACTTTGTATTTTTGTTTTTCAAATACGTTTCACATGCACTACGATTTCTAAGCCGAAAAAAATATGTTAGTATATAGTTCGCTTTATATGTACTATATATAAATGTTTCTATATATATTAATATATGTAGGTATGTATGTATATATATAAAAAAAAAATGTTCGGTACGATTTCTATATAAGATGGAACGTTTGACTTACGCCATTAAATAGAAATTCGAAATGAATAATCTTCATAGAGTTGACGAAAAGAAATTTAAGAACAATCTATTGTTTTTTGCTGTATTTTTTTTTTTTTTTAATTTTCATTTCGAATACTTTTTTTCTATACATAATACCATAAGTCGCTTTGTCTTCGATTTGCTTTATTTAATTTGCTATTCACGACATTAGAAAAAAAAAAATATATTGTTAACCTGGTTCAATATTTGTTTTCATTAAGTTTTTACGTAAGAAACTATTTTTTATTAATCAGTTTTGAGGTTCGATTCGTTAATGTATATATATGGTATTTCACTTCATTCTTATTGTTTTTAATTTTTTTTTTAATATATATAAAAAAAATGTGTTTTTTGCTTCTTTTTTTACCTATGCTAAACTCAAAAAAAAAAAATTGTTTTTGTATGCGTTTTTCGATTTGTTATGCATTATAAAAAGATTCGTTTAACACTAAACATTTACTTTGGTATATATATATTAATACATATATATATTATATTCTTTATGTATATAAAAAAAAATATGTGGTTGTATATTTCATTTTCCTTGAACAACATTTAAAATGTATGCAATTTTATTTGTTGTTAGGTTCTTTTTAATTATTTTATTATTTTAATTGCGCTTTGATTTTTTCACAAAAAAAAAAAAACATATACGACAAAATTAGCTTGGCTGCTTATGTTTAATAACAAAAATTGAAAAAAAAAATTATGTATATATATATTTATATCTATATATATATATGTTTTTCCATTTATCGTATAAAATATAGTATGTGAAAAAAAATTATCAGCTCTACAAAAAAAAAATATGAGTTTTTATGTATATATAGTTGGTATATACGATTTTCGCACATGCTCAAAAAATATTTCTAAAAAAAAAAAAACTTTTTTATGTTAAATTTCTTTATAAAAGAATCTTGTTAAATACGATTTGTTTTTTTTTTTTAATTCTAACTTGAACGATTGATGAGACGTGTTTAGGTTATCGATTAATCATTAATTAATCGCTAATCGTTTATTGGACAAGGAAAAAAATTTGCTTTACGCTTGCACTAAATACTAATTACGAGACGAGAGACGCTAAGTGCTAAGTTGATTAATCTGATATTCCATTACAAGCTAAGGCTACAATTGGTTGAGTATATTCACTTGGTAACTATGTATATCGATTGTTATCGACTGTCTGTCTGTCTGTCTGTGTGTCTTTGCTTTAGCTAAGTATGTGTGTGCCGTATGTGCTTAGGTCTGAGTGCCGCGCGAAGCTGAAAAGCACAGAAGAAGCAAAGAAAGAAAGCAGCGAGAACTTCTCTCCTGTGTTTCTCTCCTGTATATCTCTCTGTTGTTGGCTTCTCTCCGTTTACTTCCTTCAGTTGCGTGCTTTTGTTGTGCATTCTCCAATTAGTTAGTCGCTTCGTTCTGTTTTCGTTCAACTTCTCATTTCGCTTCTCACTTTGTGTTTGATGTTTTTTTCTTCTACTTATTTTATTGCTTTGCTTGTTTGTTCTAAGCTTCCTATGTATGTTTGCTTTTAAGTCTTATGGCCTGGCATTTTCATCCGTTTTAGTTATCTACTTATCGATACTTATCGATTCGCCGATCCAAGCTTCTCCCTATTTGCTCTTGCTTTGCTTCTGCTTCTTCTTTCGGTGCTTCTCGCGGCCACCTAGCGTAACTGTTTTAATTTGATTTTACGATTACGATTATTAATTATATAAAAAATTGCATTTGTATATATATTTGCATTTTGACTTCCATTTAGTTAATTCGTATGCTTCGTGTTGTTGCTTATTTATTTTTAATGTTGATGTTTTAGAATTTTTTTAGTACTCAGCACAACCAAGCTGTATGCAAAAATGATGAATTGTTTGCTATTTAACAATTTGTATTCATTTTTGTAATTTTTTTTTTTTTCTTATGTATGCTTAAATTTAAAAACTCATATATTATTAATAATTAGGTTAATCTAAAAACAAAATAAAACAAATGAAAATCAAAGTGGTTGCAATTATTTATTTCATTCATCCAAAATTAAAATATAGAAGAAAATAAATTTTTGGAAATTTTCCTTTTTTTTTTTGTTTACATTTGTATGTTTGTTGATTAATGTATGTATTTCAGAAATTTTGTCGACAAAGTAAAATTGTTCACATTTTTTGTTAAAAACTAGAAACCAAAAAAGAAAAAGATTTACATAGAGGATCATCTCAAGTTTCTCAATATGCAGTGAATATTTATTTATACATAAATATATATATGTATATATTGGTTAAATGAAATTGATTGAAACTTTGTTCATGTTTCGTTTTACATAATGCGTGGAGGCATGACAGAATCGCCTGAATATATATATATGAATGTAGATAAAATTAAAAACAAAATACAAACTTAAAAAATGCAATTTAAATAAAATAAAATATAAATAGAGAATGTTTCGACAATTTTTCATATTTGGCTAAAGCTGCCACGCCCACTTGCATAAATGAATTTTCGTTTCTTTGCTTTTTGCTTCTCTTTAATATTAGTGTATCTCTTTTCTTCTCTCATCTTACTTTTGTCAGGCATTTATCACGTGCTTTTCGTTTCATTTAAGGTTTTTGTTTTTGTTTGTTTTTAATTAATTTTTGTCAGTACTTATATGTGTGTGTGTGTGAGTGTTTGTGTATGTAACATGCTCAAGTTGTTTAAACGCATACAAAAAAAAATGATTTTCAAAAAAAAAATATATATTTATATATCTTTATAATTATGAAAAAAATTCTCGTTACAAACTATGAAAAAAAAAATTAATTCAGTTTTTTCACTTCTAAGTTTTCTTTTTCTTTCTTTGTAATTTTGTCTGATGAACATTTTTCTTCAGCCCATCATAAGCTGCCTCGCCTTTGCTCTCTTCCCCTCTCCCTTACTTTACCTCTACCTCTACTTCTGCTTTTCTCTCTCTCATTCTCTCACACATTTCATCGTATATATATATAGTTGGTAAGAACAGCCTGAACTTGAGCATGCTAACATTTCATTAAACTATATATGTGTATTTTATATTATATTATAAAAAAAAAAATTGATTTATAAATTATGAAAAAAAAAAATAGATATACATATATGTATATAATCCGGTACGGTCGCATATATACGTCAGTTTTTTCTTCAGAAACACAGAAACAGAAAAAAAAATTAGAGCTTATTTGCTTATTCACGCGCCTAACTGTATATCTGGATACATATATATTTACTTTGCCTAAAGTTAAGCACAAAAAAAACCTTTTCTCTATATATTAATTTATATAATATAGTATCGATATATGTATATTGATATACATGTTACATAAAATGAAAAAAAAAAAAATCCTCCGAAAAAAAAGCACAAAAATAAAAAAAAAAAGTATTACAACATAAAGTAAATGAGGAACATTTAAGCATAAAACACAAGAACAAAAAAATTCATTAATTTAAAGTTTAAGCTTAATGTTGAGAACAGATATATATATATATATATATAGATGGATGATCTACTTTATATATATATATATGAGTTTTATATATATTGTTATTCTTCTCTTATCTTTCATTATCTTTTTTTTTGTTTTGTTTTAAGTATGTTTTTGTGTGTGTATTTGAGGTTATGTGCGCCACAGAAAGCCGTTATTTGCAATTGTTGCTGTTGCCGTTGATGTGGCATTTGTTGCTGTTGCTGTTGTAGCAGTTGCCGTGGCAGCAGCAGCAGCAGCTGTTGCTGTTGCTGTTGCTGTTGTTGAAAATGTGTTGCAGTTGAGCAACTTTTGCAGCTTCTGTTGTTGTTGCTGCTGTTGCTGTTGTTCCATGTTGTAACTGTAGTCTGGCAACAATTGTTGCTGCGATGCCAGCATGCGATTACTGTTGCTCTGCTGTTGCTGTTGTTGCTGTTGCTGTTGCAGTTGACTGTTGCTGCCGTTGCTGTGCGAGCTCAAGCTTAAACTATGGAATTGACCAAGCCCATTGCTGTTGCTGTTGCTGTTGCTGTTGCTGTGCATGTTGATGTTGCTATTGCTGCTGTGCGGACTAAGGCCGAAGCCATTGTTGCTGTTGTTGCTGCTGTGCGGACTATAGCTCAGACCGTTGCTGCTGTGTGGCTGTTGTTGATTGCTGTATGGAAACATGTTGCTGCCGTGCGGACTGAGGCCATTGCAGCTGCTGCTGTTGCTGCTGCTGCTGCTGCGCGACATATGTTGCTGTTGCTGTTGCTGCTGCTGTTGCTGGCTGTAATTGCTGTAGCTTTGCTGCGGGCGTGGTATATTGTTGCTGTTGTTGTATGGAAAGTTATTGTTGCTGTTGTGTGGGCCATGCGGCGACAATTGTTGCTGTTGCTGCTGCTGCTGGTAATGTGAATGATACTGTAACATGTTGCTGGGATTGTGGTTGCTGTTGTTGCCATTGGTATTGTTGTTGCTACTGCTGTTGTTAGTATTGTTGTTGCTGTTGAAGCCGCACGCCTGCTGATAGAGTTGCAGTTGCTGCTGCTGCTGCGGCGTCAATTATAAGTAAGGATAATGATACTTCCTGCGGTACAGTCCATCAAGCAAATCGGCAAAGTTGTCGCCTAAATTTTTTTATTATTATTTTTTTTTTTTTTTTTTTGTTAAAAAATAAAAATAAAAAAAGAGAAAATATGTATATTAGTTAATGTTTTGATCTAGCATTTTATGTAATTGACATATTTAAGCGTCTATTTGAAAAAGTTGCATTCGATTTATTTTAAAATTAAGCTACGAACTTGTCTTTATATCAAATTTAAATTTAAAATTAATTTAGTTACTTAAGTGCTGCTAGGCAAAAAATAAAGGAAACCTAACTTAAACTAACTTAATGCTTCTTTTATGTCTTGGTTTTTTTTTTTTTTTTTTAATCTAAGCTAAATATTGTGAAAAAGTTAGTTTTAGTTGTTGTGTGTTTTTTGTTTAGTTTATTTTTGTATTTTTCGGGTTTTGTGTTTTACTTTTTGTTTGGTATTTGTTTAAGTTAATTCATTTTTAAAGATTGATTTTCTTGTTTAATTTTAGCGAGTTTTAGTTTTTACGTTCATCATTTAAATTACACGACGCAAGAAATTCTTGACGAGAAGCTTTATCGATTATTTCTTGATTGTTGCCAAAAAAAAAAAAAAAAAAAATTACAAATTTATCGATTTACAACTTTAATTCATTCATTGAACGTGCCATGTTTTGCTTTTTCTTTTGTTTAGAGTGTGTGTGTGTGTGTTTTTTTTTTTTTTTTTTTTAACTCTTTATGTTGTTTAATTTGTATTAAAAACTAAAGAAAAACATATATATTTATATATATTGACACAAAACTTAGGCAATGGATGGAATTTCTATGTGAGCATGAGAACGTGTACAAAATTTTCGATTTGTAAAGAGAACTTGGCAAGCAAAAACACAATTCAAGTAAACATTAGTGTATATATATATATATATATATATATATAGAGATCAATATACATATATATATATATATATATTGAATATGTCTATCAACTATATACGATAAATACAAAACGTGATTTATGATTGAGAACTTTTCTGTTGGATGGATTACAATTCTAGAGCAAAGGGCACAGCAGCTGCATTCGACTCTCAAAATGCTATATATACATATATATATATATATATAGATATATTATATATGCTATATATAAAAATATATGCCATATATATATATGTATATATCAACATGAGCAACTGTGAAAATTATAGGAACTGGGATTTAGGAAACGTTTTAGGTTCAAGTCTAAACAAAAATGTCCAAAAACATAAATATATATATACATATAATATATATATATATATTCATATATATATATATATTTCTTGTTGGGATCTTAAAGCGCAAGCAAAAAACTTTAGCTAGCGAATTTATTTTTTATATGTTTGTTTATAGAGAAACGAATATTGAAGCTCTTTGTGCATTGCTTTAAATAGATTGCATTTTGATTTATAGATTTATATATATTATTTGTTTTATATTATAAGCATTTGTTTTGTTTTATATTGCCTCTATGCAATTTTGGAACTTTTTCAAATAACGCTCTATAGTTTTTTTTCCTTCTCAATTTTAGGTATTTTAATTTGAATTAGTTTTTTTTTTTTTTTTTTTTTTTTTTTTTTTTTTTTGAGAGAGAGTCAAATAATCACGAATTAAACGAATTATGTTTGTATATAGTTCTAGTAGAGATTGATGAGATGGCAAACTAAATAGAGGTATGCATAAAACATGGCACGCTTTGAATTATTTTTATAATTTTTGTTTTGTTTTTTTTTTTTTTTTTTTTTTTCGACAAATTTGCAGCATGAGACGAAAATTTGAAGCTCGCTTTGATATAGAAAAATAATATATAGACATATATATATGTATGTGTATACACATATATATATTTATATCTAATGTCCGATATGTCCAATAAAAGTGTATATGTGAGTATGTTTGTGTGTGTGTGTGTGTGTGTGTGTGCGTAGAACTGACGCCAAATTGAACGCGAGCACAGAAAGAAGCTAAGGATATTCAACTCTTTTGCTTCTTTAAAGCTTCTCGCTTAAGCATTAAACTAGATATTTATTGTTTCTTTCAGGGCTGACTTAAGAGAGATAATCCTTTAAACTGATTTTCGATGCACTCTCAAGATTCTCACGTCACATAATCAGGGCTTCTCTGGTGCTGCTTGCTCCTAGTAACAGCCCAGAGAGAAGCGATTAAGTATAGCTTATGTACATATTTTTATTTTTTTGCTTATTTTTCCATTTTTCATTTTCCAGCTAATTTCTTATCGTTGCTTCTTCCTTCCAATTTCCTACTTAGCTTAAGCATTTGCCAAGCGAATATCGTGCAAGAGAGAAGCGGCTAAGCATAGTTTACTATCAGAATACGTATTAAATGCAAAGTAGGCAAGCAAGAAGCGAACAGAGACACATACATAGACAATCTTAAGCTTCTCACTGTGATTCTTGCGCTCAGTTTTACGGCGTCAATTATATCGTTATATGTCTGTATGTAATGTATGTATGTATTTATGTATGTAATGTATGTATATATGTCTGTATGTATGTGTATGTATGCATATTTGTTGTGTCGCTAGACTACTTAAATTATATATTTAGACTCGATTCATCTTATGTGCTCTCAAAAAAAAAAAAAAAAAAAAAAAAAAAATATGAGAAAAATTATCGTTAATTAAATTCAATTTTATGATTATGACTATCATTAGGCATAGTAGAGAATATAAAAAGGAATAATTACTATCGAGACCAAAGATAGCATCGCAAATAGCATCGAATAATGAGCGTAATTTTTCCATAGCTCCGTCTATAAAAAAAATTGAAAAAAAAAAATAAACAAATTTATACAACTTGCATTTGTTGCTATTGTTGTTGTTGTTGTTGATTGGCGCCAGCTGATTTACTTATTATGTTGGTTTTTTTTTTTTTAATTATAAACATAAGTTTTTTTTATTTTATACATATTAATTTAATATATATAAAATAAAAAAGTCTATGTACACATATATAATATATATATAGTTTGGTTTTTCTTTTCATATTTTTTTAGTTTGCAACTCGTTATTTTTTTTTTTTTTTTAATAAATAAAAATCAAAGGCAGGTAAAGAATCAATGAAATGGCAGAAAGAGAAACAAATATTCGGATAGGTTAGTTTCTTTCTTTCTTTTTTTTTTTTGGTTAGTGGTGCAACAGCAATTGGGAAACATATGTATGTATGCATATATATATATACCAAAACTACACGAAATACTAATTAATAAAAAATAAACTAAATAAATGCTTGATTGTTTGCTAATATATAGATAAAAACTAAACTAAGCGCAAAGTAAACCAAGTTTATCAAATAAAATTAAATACATAAGAAAATGCAAATAAATATCTTAAATTTAACTGATCAAACAACAACAAAGAAATAGAAAGACAAAAAAAAAATATGAAACATACAAAAATTCTAAATCTAAGCAAAAGAAAAATTGTTTTTGAATAAAAAAAAATGATTGCTGCCTATTTTTTCCCTTTTGAATGAAAAAAAGTTAAAAAAAAAAATATTCTTTCCCTTATCTCACAGAAAAAAAAAATGTCTTTGAGCTGCCGAGTTAATATGAGTTAATGAAAAGTTTTTCCAGACTTTCCAGAAGATTTCCAGTTTTCTTTCTTTAGCACTTAGCAGGCACAACAAAAAAAAGTAGCAAAAAAATATAGGAATATATTTATATACATATATATATAGACTTGTAACGCTTAGGAGATGCATTATTAGCACTAGAAAAAAATATACAAAAAAAATTACAGGTATATATTTTTTTTTTTATAATAGAGCCCCGCCACACACTTTTGTCACTTGAGAAAAAAAGAAAAAAAAATAACAGAATATTGTTTTCCATTTTACAGGTACAAATTTCTTATGCATGATACACTTGGAAAAAAATATGAAAAAAATATCAATATATATATAGACTTTTTACTTTGTTATTCAATTTTTTGGTTTAGTTTTTGTTTATTGTTTTAGGCGTTTCATACTCGAGAGTTATGGAACGGTTTGGTTGGCACCGGAACCGATAAGGGGGTGTTTTTCCATATTTACTTTACTTTAATTTTCTTTTTTGTTCTATTTTTTTTTTCGCATGAATGGAAAAAAATAAAATAAAAAATGAATTGTTTTTAGTTGTGGCTTCTTTCTTTTCTTTTTACACATGAAAAAAATACAAAAAATTGTTGTTCGATAGCATGTAATCGCTCGATCGATAATCGATGACGCGTTCAAGTTCAAGCGCACCCCGTTATCGGCTTCGTAAGTGCGCGCATACTTACCATGCGCCGCACAAGCTTCGCCTCATTCTTTAAACATGTCAAACAGTCCCTGTCCCTGTCTCTCTCTTTCTCTCTGATTTGAGCTGTGAACAGAAAGCCTGTGCGCCCGTCTCAGGCGTTCTCATCGGGAAAAAGAACGAACGAACAAAAAAAAAAAAAAAAAAAAAAAAAAAACAAGAGAGGCTCAGCACACACACACATACACAAACACAAGCACGCACGAGCTCAGGCACTCAGAACAGGCACGCACACACACGCACATGTTTACCGTTGTTCTGTTGGGAAAAAAAATTAATTGCTTTTGCGTTTTGCTTTTGCATTTTGCTTTGGCTTTTTCGTTTGCTGCAACAGCAACAAAAAAAAAATAAAAAAATTTTTTCTTTTTGTTTTGCGTTTGCTTTTTATTTTTTTTTTTTTCGCTTTTCATATATACATAGGTATATATTTATATTTATATATATAGAGAGAGAGAGAGGCAAATATATATATACATATATATATATATATGTACATATATATATATATATATATATATATATATATATATATATATA